CCGCGCGCCGCCTCGCTGCGCTTGCCACGCGGGCGGGGGAGCCGACGAGGGTCCCCTCTCGCAGCCACCATTCCTTTGCCGTCGTCGCACGACACCGCCGTTGCAGGGGCCGCGGCACGGGGCGCAGGACAGGGCCGCGCACTCGTACGGAGAGGAGAGGCATGGCGCCCGCCTGCGTGCGTGCGTGCGTGCGTGCGTGCGTGCGTGCGTGCCTGCCAGCGTGCGTGCGTGCGTGCGTGCGTGCGTGCGTGCGTGCGTGCGTGTGTGTGTGTGTGTGTGTGAGTGAGAGAATGTGTGTGTGTGCCTGTCTGTGCGCGCGTTTGTGTGTGTGTGGGTGTGTGCCTGTGTGTTTGTGTGTGTGTGTCTTTGCGTGTGTGCGTGTCTGTGTCTGTCTGTGTGTGTGGTGTGTGTGTGTGTGTTTGCGCGTGTGGTGTGTATGTTCTGTGTGTCTCTGTGTCTCTGTCTGTGTGTGTGGGTGTGTGGTGTGTATGTGTGTGCGTGTGCGTGTGCGTGTGCGTGTGCGTGTGCGTGTGTGTGTGGTGTGTGTGAGAGAGGGGGGGGGCGGGCTTCTCTGGGGGGCTCGTCGTGCATTGCTGGGTCCCTCTCGGAAGCTTGGCATGGCACCCCAGGAAAAGTCGTGGTCGACTCAGGGCGGGGAAGGCCCGGACCTCCAGGCGTTGCCGTCCAAACGTGGCGCGCGGTTACTTCCCACTTCGGCCGCCGGGTGGCCGTTTTGGAGCCCATTCAAGATCATCCATGACGGGCCTGGTGCGACACACCAGCGCTGAGGAGTGGCGTGAAGTATTGCTCCCGCCAGGGCCACATCCGATCCGATCATGGTTGCCTCCTCGGTTCGAGCCCTTGTTTGATCCTCGACATGTTCGACGCGCCAATGCGGCACCTGTACTCCATCATGTCTCATCCTCATCCTCCGTAGCCATTTTGGCTCAAGCGTTTCGGCACAGACGGCAGTTGAGCACGGAGATACTCATACTGGCAGCGTGTCGCGTAGAGCGCATCATGGAGTTGGCCACGGAACCGACGGCTGCAGACTGGCGCTTCACCCGCGAGCAGGTTGACGACCGCACGCTCGATGGCCAGCGCCGCGAGCTGGAGGTCCCGGAGGCCGTCCTACCATTCCACAGCACGAATTTCTCGCGATTGACGGCCAAGGACATGGACTTGGGACCCTCAGAATGGAACACCTTGACCAGCAAGATGTTCGGCTCGCCCCAGTGGGACTCCGAGGAGACCGAGCCGTCGGATAGCACCGAGACCAGTTCCACGTGGGGGCTGGCGTCGTGGACGACTAGCTCCTCCCAGGTCGGTGAGGAGCTGGGCGTGTGCCGCCTGGCCAGGAACAGCAAGAGGGATACGGATACAGGGAACTCGAAGGACTCGTTGGCGGCGCAGGCGAACACGGGCGTCCAGGAAAGCGCGCCGCCCGCGAGCGGCCGCGCCGCCGCGGGCTCCTTCCGGGAGGCCGTGGCCGCGCGCCGCCGCGCCGCCCGCCGGAGGCTGCTCGGGGCGGACGGGCTCTTCATCGGAGAGCACGCGGGCGGCTTCTGCGCCAGCGACTGCATCAAGTGCAATCCGAGGAAATACGCGGAGCGGCCCTCCGAGTGAGAGGAAGGCGGCAGGGCCTGGCGCCCGCGGAGCCCGGCCACGTTCGGCTGTGGCTGAAGCTCCGAGGCGAGCCGCGCCCGCCACCGAGGCGGCCCGGGGGTCTGATGCAGCTCGACCACGAGCCCAGGCTTCTCCTCCTCCCTCCTCCATCGTCAGATTACCATCCCCCCCTCTTCCATCTTCTTCCCCGCATGTCCTTGACATGCCTCTGCTGATATTCCCACCAATTCGCGCACGGTAGATCTTCGCCCATGCCTGCATCTCGCTCGCGGTCTTCCTGCAGGCGCGGGCATCGTGCCCATCTCAACCAGAGGTTGCAGATTTTGACAGGTGTCACATTCAAACTCAAGTAGCTTGCGCTATTGCACGTGTGCCGCCATTATGTCGCCTCTTTTCCGCTCTTCCCCGTCCACTTGGACATCCTACCTCCTCTTGAAAGAGGACCCCCCTCGTTCCTCCCCGCGAGGGGTCTAGAGAGGAAAGGCCACGCCGAGTTCCACTGCAAGCCGACATCATTGGAGATGCGCGGGAGCTTCGCGCTCCGAATAGCATTTCGTGCCACTGTCTTCTTCATCCTCCGAGGTGCCAAGCGGTAGGGAACGTTCCTTACCAGCAGTTGATGGTTCACCGCTGTATCGCACGACCACCGAGAGACTTTGGAGGTAGATGCCGAATGGCACGCTGCCATAATACGGTGGCGAGCCCTGCAATGCTTCCTCCCGTTCTCCTTTGTCCTCCTGCCTCCTGCTCTTCCCCACTTCACCCACTCCTGCCCCGTTCTCCTTCACCTTCCTCCCTTCCATGAAATAATCCGACTGCTGTGAGTCCCAGATGCTCCTCAACAGCATTAGCGTCAGCGGTGTTCTTGTTCTGACCGGCGGAATGTCAGAGCCACCATGCAAATAGTGGTCGGTGTTGGTAGTTAAGTTCGCTGGAGCCGTTTCAACGGTTGAGATTATGATCCAGCTCAGCGCAATGGTTTCTTCTCGTTTGGTCAATTTGGATCACCTTCTTTGACCGACGAGCTGTTTTGATTTCCTCGCTTGGATTGAGTTGCCGAAGACGCACACCAGGCGGCCGTGTAGGCCTGTGCGGGAGCGCTCTGCACACCAGGCGGCCGTGTAGGCCTGTGCGGGAGCGTTCTGCAATGCAGAGCAGTGCAGCGCAGCCAGGGTTAGAAGGAAATTCATCTGCCAGCCACAACATCAGAACCACTAGAGTCGGGGCGGGGCAGAGGGAACGAGCCAGCAGTCGCAGCGGACTCAAAGGGCCGACTGTCCGCACTGCATCCCAGCTTGTCATAGTCGGCGCTGCGCGTCTGTGGCGCGAGTGCACCGCCTAAGTGGCCAGGAGCTGTGGAGCGTGGTGCATCACTTGGATGCCCTTTTGCTGAGCACGCACTCGCCAGAGACGGCGCCAGAATAGATATGCGGGTGGCGGACACAGCACCGACCTGGTCGAATCATACTACACACATACACACATGGGAATGTAGGAGACGAGTGGCAAGACAGGAGGAGCGAGTGCAAATGCTGTACAGAGGCGTCTTTCGGAAGGCGATGCCCTCACTTTGATGCGGCGCGACAGTGGAGCCGCCCAGGCACATTCTGTGTCGGTTGCCTCGTTGTGCGCTTGGCCGCAGAAGGGGGGGGCAGCCGTCTTTTTGATTGTAATGTCGCCACTCGCCGGGCAGCCCGTCGGAGTCTCGCCGCGTGTTGCTTCCTCGCTGCGGCTTGCGTCCTGAGGCCCAGCGGGCATTCGACCCGCATGCCTGCGTTCAGCTAATCGGTTGACAAGTTGTCGTTTCAGCGGCTTGGAACAATGATCGGCTGCAATCGCGCATGTGTGCGCTTTTTTCACTGCGGGGAATCTCCCCGCTGGCTGCTATCATTGAGCTGCAGTGCAGGGATAGGCACTTGCGCAGAAGCGGGTAGAAGCTACGCTAACATAGAATGTCCCCGACCACCTTTCGAGACCCGAGCTAGTGCCTTCCATGCTGGTGACCACCCGTAGCGATGAGGAATGCAGAATTCGACCGCGCTCCGTCTTTGGGGTGCCGTTTTCCGGCCCATCAGCGGCAGGCTGAGAAGTCAGTGTTGTTGTTGTCATCGTAAAAGCTGTAACGGCGCGTCAGCATCATGCTGAACATAGCGCTGATTTATGACCGAGTGGGAACATAAGGCGCGTCGGCGCGTCGTGCTGAACAAAAAATCATGTCTCATCCTTATCCTTGCCCTGGGCTCGTCCTCCTGGTTCTCTTGTCCCCCTCCTCGCCCTCCTATTCCCGCTCCTATCTCCCGCTCAGATGTTTCTTGATGCTGATTCTCCACCTCATCCGCACCCGCATCCGTCGATTAGTTCGCTTTCTTCTGTTGCCGCTCATCCTCCGACCGTTTCCTTCCCCTTGACCGTCTCGCTTATGGGTCGGAAAGGCAGGTTATGATTGAGACGATCATCGAGCAGAAGGGAAAGGGAGATCGCCTGTAGGTGTGCACGGATATGGAAGGTAGCAGGCGGAACTCTGTCACCAGATGCACGGGATCAAGGAAGGGTTTGGTTTTCTGTTTCCAATCTCTCACATTGTATTCCTCAGTAGGTTTGTGTTGGTCGACCCGAGTGTTCGTAGGTCTATAGAGTCCAGGGGGTCTCCGTATGCTTGACCAAGTTTTGCCCAGACCACCCGTCTGAGTTCGCTGGTAGCCCCTATTCAGGAAGCGGCCTCTCGGATGCAGAAAGCCACCGCCCGACCCCTGCACACGAGCACCAGCGAGCACGCATGTCCGCTGCACCCCTGCAACCGCTGGTAGTCCTGGGGTATGTCGTCCGCTGCCCGCCCCTGCGTGCGCGTCTGGGTCCGCCGCCCCCGCCGGCAGCGCTGCCGCACAGCTTCGGGAGTCGTCCGCGCACAGGCTCGCACGCCTTGCAAGGGGGGCTGCGCCTGGCCTCTGGCTCCGCCCTCCCCCCCCAAAACGCCAGCAGGCTATGAGCCAAATGTTACAGCCAGGGTGCTACGCTTCGTGCACCCCCCCCTCTCGAGATCGGTGATCCCCCCGCTCGTTTCCGCAAAAGCGATATTCCGGAGGCTCGCAAGGCACAGCACTCTTCCAAGCATTCGATAGTCGAACTTCCACCCTCTCGGCATCTCCCTACTCGACCTCATGGAGTCCCCGAGGCTCCTCCCGCTCCACTCGAGTCGAGGCTGCATCCTCGAGTACGTCGGCAGCCTTGCGTTCATGGTGGGCACCCAGGACCGGCGCGGCGGGGAGGGCGAGGACGGAGGATGCGAGAGGAGGCGGAGGAGGCAGGCGGAGGCAGGATTCGGGGGAGGGATCCGTGGAGGACGAGGAGAGCGCGGGAGTTGCCGAATGATCCTCGCAGTGTAAATGGGGAGCGTTTCTTTTTCCATTGGGATCCCAACGTGCAGTTGTTGTTCTCACGGGGTAGTCTGGGAGCCTCTGGTTTTAGCTTGGTGGATTGCTGGCCTGCGGTGGACGGGCGACGCGGGAATCGTCCAGAAGGCTTGGGGACTCGTTCAAACATGTTTGAGCACCTACATCAAAGTTGGACCCCGACTTTGATTGGAAAAGGAACCAGGTAATATACAACTGATGCCTGCTGTGCAAGCTGTTGTATTGCCTAGAATCGCGTTAGCTCCTGAAAGCGGGCCGAACGAGGTTCGATGCATTCAAGTGTCGTGTTCTCCAGAAGTTTCTCGGCATCGCCCCATCATTTGATTCAAGGACGAGGTGCTTCGGCAGGCAGGCTTTTCTGAGTTGTCCCAGATGTTGCTAGACGGGCGACAGTCGCGGCACACTCGTGTGCTTGCCAAGAGGACGGTAGCCATGAGAGCCAGGCCGTCCGCCGGAGGCGTGGCAGACTTCGGCATGAATGGACGCACGAAGTGTACCAGCGTACGCAGTGCCAGCAGCTCCCGTGACCAGCGTACGCAGTGCCAGCAGCTCCCGTCACCATTTTCTCGTGCGTTGCGCGTTGCCCCGTCGGCCAGCCTGCTGCCTGCGCGTCTGACGGGACGCACGGCTCACTCGACGCGGCCGGACCCCACGGGACATCCGTTGCCCGTGGGCCCACAAGTGCCACGAGGAGCCGTCGGGCAGCGGCTTGCCGACGCGTCTTGCAGGACACGCGGCTCACTTGACGCGGCTGGATCCCTCGGGAAATCCGCTGCCCGTAGGCTTAGATCGGGCGTGTCCCTCTACAGGAGGAAGTTTCAAGAGTAGCCAACAAAATAGTTCGGGGACGATCGTTCGACAATTTGGGGCTATATTTGAATATGCTTGGACTTGTTTTGCAAATCTTTCTCCGAAATCCGCCAGCAGGAGGACTTGCCCGACCTATTCGTAGGCCCACGTACCATAAGGAGCCATCGGGCAGCGACGGGCAGCGACGTGCGTCCGGAGTGGGGGGGGCAGCGGGGGCCACGCGACCAAGACCTACGCGAAGCGTTCCTCGGCGGACGAGGCGCGCGATCCCAAGCGGAGTACTTCCAGTGGGCCGGCGGGCATCTCTGCGCGGAAGGGAGGGGTGCTGATGGCCCGGGACCCCCAGTCCCCGCCCCCCAGATTGCGCGAAGGGTTGAGGGGGGGCGCCCGCGCGGGGGGCGACCTCGCGGCCGTTGGTCGCGAGCGCAGCACCTGCGATGGCCAGGCCCGCCCGGAGGCGGGGGCGGCTCCACGGCCGCCGCGAGCGCCCCAGCAGTGGCAGCGGGCACGTCCCCGCCCGCCCCCGCCAGTTCAGGACCGGAGCGAGGGCCGCGTCGGGAGCGCGTCCAATCGGGGGCCACATGCGAACCCTGCCCCTCCCCCTAAGAAATCGTGGGGGGTAGGGGTAGGGTTCGCATGTGGCCCCCTATGCAAAGGCCGAGGAGGCCTGCCCCTGCCCGGAGAAGATCACCGCGCCGACGACGGCGGGGCTCCGTCGTGGCCCTTTCGGCGCTGCGCACAATGTCCGCAGGGCACGGACCGAGGCGGGGGAAGGCAGGGGTCGACGGCGAGGGGCCCGTCGGGGGGGGGGGGGGATTCGCACCCGCGGCAACGCGATCTTCGCCGCCCCGCCCCGCCCGCCCCCGGCGGGGTCGGCGGTGCCAGCGGCGGAAGACTGTGTCCAGGAGACACTCGGGTATAGCTCAGAGCGTGAATTACCTACCCCGCTTTCGCTTCCAGGCAAAACCAAGCCATACCACGCGCCTCCTCGTCAAGCGGCCTGACCAGTACAGGCTGCAATTTGGCATCGCTTGGTATCTCTTGGAAGCGAGGGTGGTCAAAAGCGAGGTAGGTTTGTTTTTTCCCTATTAGTAGTAGGGCCCCGGAGCCCCTGAATGGACCAGAATCGCTCCACCAGGTCTGCCGCAGCTGGCGTCTCTCGGGTGGCGGCAGTTCCGGTCAGTGGAGCTGGGTGGGGGGGCGTCCCCCAGGACTGCGGGCAAGATTCATGTCCATATCCAGTGCCACTTGGACTTTTTGGGAAGCGGCGCCACAAGGCCGAAGCGCACTGGATATGGATAAAACTCGAGCCTGTAGGGGGCAAACTTATCCACATCCAGTGCGTCTCGGGCTTCTTGGGAAGGGAGCCCGCAACTCCATACTGCAGTGGATATGGGCAGAAGTATGGCCCGCAAGTGCGCATCCCTGAGCCAGGCCCCACTGAACCCGGTGCTGCCAGCGCCCCGAGACACGCGAGATGAAGATTGGCCTGGTCCTGGAGGCGCTCTGCGCGCGGGGAGGGCGGCGCCGAGGCGCCGTGGGCGAGGGGCCGGCCCGGCCATCTCCCAAATCTCAGGAGGGAGAGGAACACACAGACACAATTCATCGTCGATTTCCCAGAAAATATGGGAAACTGTGGGGAGTGGGGGGGAAGACAAAAGCCCAGAAAATATGGGAAAATATGGGGAATCTTTTTGTTTGTGTGTATTTATTTGTGCGTCCCGGGGCCCCTTCCAAATCGGCAGGGGCACGGGCGGGGCGGCTCGGCGGGCCGTGCCAACGGCGAGCGCACCACGCCAGCGGAGCGAGCCGCGAGGCTCCGAGTCGGGGGAGCGACGGCCCCCTCGACTCGGGCCGGGCGAGAGGGGGGGGGATTGGGGAAGGGGGGGTTACGAAATCTGCTGCATGCACCTGGTTTCGGCCCCACCCGGGGGGCCCACTCCTCGATACATGGCCGCCTCCGGCGCCGGGAAGATCAGCTGCGTGAGCCGATTCTCCCCCCCCCCCCCTTTGCTGTCCCCCCCCCTTTCGCCCGACCCGATCAAGGGAGGCTGTCGCCTTACCCTGGTTCACCTCAGGACCTCCATTTCAGGAAGCTCGCTTCAGGAACTTCAGGGGCCAAGCCTCAGCCACGCGCAGAGGGGGGTGGGGGGAGGGGGGAGGGCTTCTCAGAAGCACCCCTGCTCCCCAGAAGGCGCGGGCCTTATCTGTCGATGTGAGGCCGGCGCCTTCTAAGAAGCAGCCTGCTTCCAAGAAGCCATCCCCCTCCCCCCACCCCCTGGTGCGCGCCGCCAGAAAGCCAGGGGCCAGCGCCAGAGGCGTCGACGTCCCCGTCGGCCCGAGATCGGGGCCGAGAGGGAAGTGAAGGCAGGTGGGCTGGAGCCCGGGAGGGATCCCAGGAGCCTCCGGCCGAGCCCGAGCTTTCGCGCTTGCCTTTTCTCGCCGGGCCACAGAGCACGCAGCACTCCGCATTTCCCGCTCCGCAGGACGCAGAAGGTCGTCACTCTGTCAAGCTGTATGCTGCCGGGCCCAGGGCAGGGTTGAACTGCGCGCGCACAGGCGCGGTGGGCACGTTGTCTCTGTAGCCGCCTCGGCTGGCTCAGGCTGCGGAGTCGCGGCGCACCCGCCCCGCCGCCGCGAGAAGTAGCGCGCCTCTGTTTTGCAGGTGGTCGCAGCGAGGGCCCGATCGCGGTTCCGCCGCGCACCCGGGCTTGGGCACGAGATGCCCCCCCGAAGCTTCACACCCGCGCGTGGGGGGGGGTTCGCGCTCGCGTTTTTCACTTGACGGGGGGGGGCACAAGGACACGTCCATTTTCGCATGCGATTCTTCCTTCCCAGCCCCCGACTCTTCGACGACACATGAGGCCGCTCAGCAAAGGAGGGGAACCCTGGAATGCACCCCAAGGGGGCAATCCGGACGCACCCCTCTCGAGGATGGACGCCCTCCCCACTCGTATATCCCAGGGTTGCGCCGCAGATCTCTGGTCATTCGAAACCCCACGCAGCTTGGGAAAGGGGGTCGACGCATCCCCCGTTGCCCGCGGCGCTTGCCCTTCCCCGATCACGGACACATGCGGAAGGGGATACGTCGGGCGGGACATGCGAAGGAGGCGCGGAAGACTCGGAGTGCACACGGGCGCCGCGGGCTCCAGCTGGGCATTCCTCCAGTCAGGAAGGAAACACACACGGACACAAAGGAGCGTCGATTCTGGGGAGAGTATGGGAAACTATGGAAACGGTGGGGAACAAGGAACTCCGGAAAATATGGAGAACATGTGGGGCATCCTGGGATCTGTGTCTGTTCATTTGCGAGTCCTTGGGCTCCTGCGTCTATGCTCCCTCCGTTCGGATCGCCTCCACCCTGGCTGCGCTGGTCTCCAATAGTCATCCTAGCCTCCTCCTCAGAAGAGATCTGGGGAGAAGGACGGAAGGCACCCTTCGACGTCGTTTTCATGTCTTTGGGGTGTGTGGGGGGGCCCAGGGTGCCTTGGAGGCCACGGCCTATTGAGGCTCCATGCGCTGGTCAGAAAGGGCTCTCCGGGAGGTGCCCGGGGAGTGATGTTGGGGGAGCGCGAGTGGCCGACACAATCCTCTGTCTGGTTTCTCGAGGGAGGGATCCCGGAGGCCGGCTGCATGCTGATTTGAGCCCCTGGAGGCCCGTTTTTGGGCTCATTGGCCATGATGACGAACAATTTGCGACGATGGGTCGGTCCCGAGCGTGGGTTCGGTGTCCGTTCGTGAGAGCCTCGGGCGACGTCATTGCGACCATCGGTGCCTGCATTTGGGCTGCATTGTTGGCCCTTCTCCTGATCCTCCCTGCCCTTCCTGCTCCTCCCCCGCCCCGCTCGTCGCGTCTCCCTCGCGGAGGGCCGAATCCAGGAGACGTTCGTCCTGACTGTGCTCTGGGGGTGTGATTTGTTGTTTGCTTTTGCCACTGAGAGACTCGGCGTCTTGGCAGCCACGTTTATCGGAGGTCGATAGACCTCCTAGCCTGACACGTCGATTCAGGAATTGGCCGTTTTCGCTTCGCGAGAGGGCGTCGCGGCCGCCAGTTTTGCGGATCCAGCTCCGTCGGTTTCGGTCCTAGGCCGTTTTCACTAAGGGGAGGTTTACTAAAGGGAGGTTTGCCCACCGCCGAGCTTATGTGGTGGTTTTGAGTCCCCAAAAGAAGGTTTAACAACGCTACGCAGGTAATCAGGAGTTTGTGGTGGTTTGGGCTATGAACAAACTAATCGTTCTCAAATCCGTTGATTGCGTTGTCCAATCTTGCCGTCTACGACGTCCACAGTTCTTTATCATTGTATGTAGTCCTCTCCATCGTAGTATAATTATTGTTTGTTCGTTTTGTTTTTCTCCGACCTCGGCTGGTGGCTGTTCGTGGGGCCTTTGGGCCTGCTAGGCTGGTGTTAGGGCGTTCTTGCTGTTGCGTGTTTAGCTCTGCGCGCGGAGCGGGAGGAACGGGAGGCAGCAGGAACGGGAGAGCGGGAGCGAAGACGGCAGGTAAGACAATGAGTAGCCTTCGACAAGAGAACACAGACCGCTAAGCGAATGATGATCCACAGCCACGGGCCTGAACACGCAACAACAAAAAAACACGGTGCAACAAGCATCGCGGGTCTGTTCGAGGTTCAAGTCTGCCAAGAGCCCCATGCAAAACGGTACGACAGACCGCCCAGGGCACTTCTAGGGTGAACGCAGAGAATCTGGCCCACATCGGGTCCCAATTGTGGGCCACGTCTGGTCCGAAGCATGTCTACACATCGGGCGGCGCCGGGGGCCGGGCGGGGTCGAGAGCTCTGGTCCTCCCTGTCGTGGGGGCAGGTCGCGGCGACGTCCGAGCTGCAGCAACCGTTGGGGCTCCAGCAGTTGTGTCGGGGCGGCTCGGCGCAGCATGCTCGGTAGGCCTGAGGGCACCGCCCCCTGGCAGTTCGTCTTCCTCTCCTGCGGCCTCCTTGCCTACGATGGTCCACTGGTCCTCTCCACCTGCCTCCTCTCCATCCTTCTCCTCCTCCTCCTCGTTTTCCCTGTCTTCCTACTTTCTTCCTCCGTCATTCCTCGACCGTCCTCCCTTCGCCCTCATGCATCCCCATGGCTGCGCCATGCGACTGGTCTCTCTCTCTCTCGCTCCAGCACTCCACCTCCGCCGTCACCGTTCGCCCGACCTCCCCCTTCTCTCCATCATTCACAATTGTGGTGCTTTTTGCATCCTCATTTCCTGATTTCGCCCAGGAGGAACGTGGGAGATGTCGAGACTACATCACGTGGCTCATGCAGCAGCGCACGGGCAAGGCCTGCCTCCTCACGCTCTGTGGAAGTTGGGTTCCTCTTCTATCCGCTGGCACAGAGGACGAGAAGAAGGACGCCGGGTCGCCAAGAGGGGCTCGAGGATAACGGAGCTTCGGGGTGCGCGGCTGGTCTTCAGGAGTTGCCTTTCTCCAGGGCACCCGCGCGAGAGCGCGAAGAGACGCAGGGTTCGCACAGCGCGAAGCGCCATAAGGAGCCAGACAAGCTCGTTCTTGGCCGTTGCGGTGATGATTGCCCACGGTCGGCGTTGCAGACGGCAGCTATAGCCAGGCAGCAGGGTTTTGGTTGCGGCCGGTGTTGGCGTCATAAGGCAGCCTTCGGCGCCCTGCTTGTTGTGCACCAGTCCTCGTAGTAAGTGTGTCCTTCCCTCCTCCTCCTTCTTTTCTAATCCCCCTCGGAGGACAGCTTTCACAGCCACATTGAATTGGGTGCACCTGCTGGAGCTGGGTACCTTATCCATGGTTCGGTAGGTCCCCGACATGCTAGACGGATCCCGCACCGCAACAACAAGAGCCGCAGCATCCGAGGGCTTGCTTCGGGCTGACGCTGCGCGCTCGCGCGCACTCGCGTCCTCCCCCGCGTCCCAGTGCCCCCGCGCCCTCTTCCGCGATCCGCGCTCGCAAACGAGGGCGCCGGTGCTAGCGACCGGACGACCCGCCCACCCTCGAGACCGGCTCTCTTGGAGCCGAGGTCGCTTGCGGATATTGCCGTGGAAGCTGTGGTTTTTGGATGGGTCGCCGCGCGTCTGTCTCCTTGCTCCCTAACGCTTCGGCGAACGTGCGGCCGGTGCGCGAGGGGGGCGATGGGGGGGAGGACGGAATGGAGAGGAGGGCCGAGGAGGAAGGGACCGAGATGCCCCACACTGCGCAGACTGCGGAAGGCCCCCGCGATCCGCCGATGGTCATGCAGTTGATGACGTATCATGTTCTTGGGTATCGTTGGGGAGACATGCGAGCTCAGAGCCGTTGCCAAAGAAGGAAGGCATGAGGGAGGGAGGGAAGGACGATGAAGGAACGAAGTCTGAAGCGCCACGGCGAGGGCAGCGCCGCCGCTCAGCGCGGCCGCGCCGCACCTGCTGCGCGCCATCTCCCCTGGGGAGGGAGGAGGAGGAGGAGGAGGATGGTAAAGGAACGAAGTCTGAGGGTTTGCGAGGGGCTGGGGCGCCTCAGACGGATTTGAGGCGCGTCTACGCCATCTGATAATTTGGATGCCTTGTTGGATGTGGCTCTCGTCGGCCCTGCCCCGTCCTTGGCACCGACAGTCGACGGCGCAGTGGTTCGTCATCAGAATTGACAACTGAAGTCTGTGCAAAGTTTATGATGCTCCAACCTACTTTAGCCTTGACCACCAGGAGGAATTTCGAGCCTCCCAAAAAAAACCGGAACTCGAGGGTTTTCACGTGTCGGGCCCCACAAGACACTCGCCCGACATTGTTTCGACATTGTTTCGACACTCTTTCGACACTTTTCCGGGTGCTCGAAATTATTTGTTTCTAGGATGCGGTCCTTGAGTAGGATGGGAACAACATCATGCAAAGCTTCTCCTTTTAAGCCAGGCAGCTCTCGCAGGGCATCCGAGGGCCTTTTTGAGGCGCCTGCGAGCCCACAGAAACCCCAGGCGTTGAGTGTTGTTCTGCCGCTGGTCCTTCATCTCCCCCCTGCAAGGAGAGACAATGGCATAGTGCATAAGCAGTGTCCCTGGCGCGCGGAGCGCCGAAGGAGCTGCGCTGGAGGTGCTGCCAGGGAATCCAGCGCAGATCTAAGAAACCCACTCGGAGCTCCCACCAGGTATGTCTATGCAGCTGTTTCCCCGTATCCTGAGTGGGCTCTTGTTTTCTCTGGACACCCTGCGCAGGATCAATAACACCCTCAGATCAGCATCATCATCATCAACATCATCACCATCATCATCGTCATCATCATAATCTTCATCATCATCATCCTCATCATCCTCATCATCATCATTAGCATCAGCATCCGCATCCTCCTCATCATCACCATCACCATTATCATCATCGTCATCATCACCACCATCACCAGCATCATCATCATCATCGTCATCATCACCACCATCACCATCACCATTACCATCACCATCACCATCACCATCACCATCCTCATCATCATCATCATCATCATCATCATCATCACCATCCGTAGCCATGTCGGTTCAAGCTTTCAGGCCAGCTTCCATCGGGCGGCTGGTGCGGTCAGTGCTGGCGCGGGAGGCGGCCCTCTCGCGGGAGGCCGCCGCTGGCGGCGATGTGTGCAGCCCGTGCGCGGCACGGCGGCACAGGCACCGAACTGGCCAGGCGTGGGCCCCTTGGTCGGGGGACGTGCTCGTCCACGGCCTGCAGCGGGCGGTGCGCTAAAGGCGGAGCCGCTACGAGAAGTTGGTGGAGTCGCTGGAGGGCCCCGACACGGCGGAGCGCCCGCCTGGCGGTGGTGGCGGTGCCCCTGAAGAACACGGTTCACGGCGAGGCCATTGAGTCGCCCGTCGACACGCTGCGGAGGAACGTGGCGCTCCACGCGGCGTTGGCGCCCTGGTTGCTGGGGACGGCGACGGCGTGCTCGCTACGCCGAGCCCAGAACAATGGACCCAGGCTGGTGGCGCGCCCCGCGCTGTCGCCGGCTGGCCTCGCCGCAGGGGGGGTGAACATCCCTAGCTCGGGCAGACCTGCTGAGGGCGGCGCCCCGCCCGCGCGGAAATTGGCCGAGTCCCCGCCCGACTCGGCCAGCCCGGCGCGGGCGCGACGCCGCTGCCGCGGTAGCTGCCAGGGCCGCCAGGGCCGACGCGGTGCGCGACGGCGAGATGGGGGCGGAGCTGGACGATGGCCACGACCCCTTGCTAGCAGTGCCACTTTTTCCGGTGCTCGTTAAAGAGTTCAGCGATCATGGCGCGATCGCGGCGCACGAGCTCGCGGCGAAACAGGGCGTGGCTGGCACGCGTGGCAGGCATGCGCTCCGCCACGCCACCCCTGCCACGGTGGACTTGTGGGGGTGCCTGGGGGGCGCCGCGAAGGGCATCGAGACCGCCGCGAAGCGGGATGGTGCCCGCGCAGCCAAGCGCTGCACGGTCATGCGCCGGATTCCACAACTGGAGGCCATCTGCGGGGGAGCCCGGCGGGTGTTGACGGTTCCGACGACGGGGGCGACGATAAGGCCGAGCTGGTTCGTTTCGAGGTTCAGAAAGCGCTCGGGTCCGCTTGGCTGCGCAGCGACACGCTGGAGGGCAAGGGGCGTGTCTAGGCCGCACTGTGGCGCCTGCAGGAGTAGAGGGCGAGCGCGACGCTGCGACGCCCCTCCGTGGGAAAGCGCGATCGTCATCATCAGCATCGTCATCGTCGTCGGCGCCGTCGTCGCCATCATCACCATCATCGTTGCCGCGGTCGCCATCGTCATCGCCATCTTCATCCTCATTATTAGACGTATTTGCAGCACCGTCGTCTTGATCATTTTCATCAGACACCATCATCACACTTGGCATCAGAAGGAACGCCGTTGTCACCATCATTCGCCCGACCATTATCGTCGTCGTCATGGTACGCGTCGTCTGCTTCCTCATCATGATCATCGTCAACATCATCGCCGCCATCGTCGAGAGCATCAGCGCCCGTATCCACATATATTATATTTTCAGCATCGCCACGACTCAGCATCAACATTATCATCGCCAACATATTTATCGTCCCCGTTCGCAACACCACCGTCATCATGTTTAGTCGCATCCTTGTCATCAACGTCTCCATCAGCACCACCACCAGTTTAGTTAACAATGGCGGCACGCTCATCATCCCCAACAGCATACACATCATCATCCACATCACCATCGCCATCACCATTCCCATAACCATCAGCACACCACCATGGCCACACCCAAACATAGCCATCACCATCACCATTCCCATCGGCGCACCACCATCATCACACCACCATCGCCATTCCCATAGTCATCCAACTAGCGTCGGTCCCATGCATGCGATACTTCTTGCGCGAGAGACTCGTAGTACTGCATTGCATCCATTGCGGTCGGTCGCATGGCGGAAAAAAACAGCGTAGTGCGACACAGCCGAACTTTTCGATGCGCCATGGCACAAGCTCGCACTCCATGCGCATAGGCCCGTCAATTGGTCACATGTGCCCATACCCTTGCATCCCTTTCCACCGTGCTCACGATATATGGAGGGCTGAAATGGAGGAGGGATGGTGATGGCTGAGACCCAGTGGTGTCCCCATTGTGCTAGCACGCGTTGCCTGCCCAGCCCAGTACTCTTTCCCTGGCTGCTTTCTCGAATGTGTGCTTCCCGACGGAGCAAAGAGGCAGTAGTTTGTGGGCGGTGGTTGGCTGCATTCTGTATTGACCGGATGTCTCGCACGAGATTGGGGAGACTAGGAAAGCGTCCTGTTGTTCTCTGGCTTAGTCGTCTCGACAGAGTGGTGGCCTCGCAGAGGCTGCTAAGTACCAGCGCCATGCAAACATAACACGCCTAGCACTGCCTTTTTTTTGCGCGAGTCGCCAGAGACGTACGGATTGGAAAGGCGATCTCCATTGATGTCCGTACGTGGTCCTCGCATGCCTTAACATGGTAGGTGGCATGCGTAGCGAACTTGGGGCTCGGAATTACGTCAGCAGGTGTCGGAATAACTGCGCTGAGGTGGGATCCTTGTACAGACGGCGTCGTGCCGCACCTTGCGTGGGCGAAGCGCCTCTGGCACAAACGTCGACGGCGGAAAAAAAGACAACAAGCAGGCCGCCACAAGATTGTGGTGTAGTTGTGTGACGGTCAGGTCGATGTCGTGATCAACCCCACTGAGCTGACGCGCTGACATCCATGGTGGCTGTGATGTAGCTGCGTCTTTTGGGCGCTTTGCGGGCTCCTGGGGCGGTCCACGTACCAGCTGAGCCTGAGGGGTCCTCGTAGAACGTAGAGGGGGCCCACTGGGAAGTACTGCTGAGGAAGCAATGGAAGTGCTGCCCCGGGATGT